CTAAATACAAGAGTGCGTTGTGAGCGGGAATGAACCAATTTCACATGTGACGTCAGGGCATGAGTAAAGTACAGTAGAGTGGATTGAAATCATACCATCGGAGGTAATCTCCAATACCAAAATTTGCCACGAATCCTCGTCGATATGAAAACTCTGCTACTAGAACCTGAAGGGAAAAAGAAACAAGAGTGAGTGGGCCTGAAATAACGCTTTGATAAAAACCTTCTAATGTTATAATCCCTCGCTGTAATACTTGTATAATTTTCAGGAAATCATACTACGTATAAGTATGAAATCAAATGTAAATCAATAATAAATCCAGGAATATTCCAATCACTACATATCGGCAGTAGCATAAAAATCAGGTACTCATCAATCTATGATAACACGTTAGTTGGAGTTGCCTAACGCAACATGTACGACTCATAAATCAATCTATGATAACACATGAGTAGGAGTTGCCTAACGCAACCTGTACGACAGTGTCGGAGTTGTCTATTGCAACATGTACGACAGTGTCGGAGTTGCCTATTGCAACCTGTACGACAGTGTCGGAGTTGCCTAGTATTGCAACTTGTACGACAGTGTCGAAGTTGCATAAAACACAAATATATTCATGCCATAACTCATTCATTCCAGATAACACCATAAACTCACCTGAACTTACCTGCACAACCCGAGTTCACCTTAGCACTTCAAAGCATTCACAACAATTATATATAGGTAATATGCGTATGGATATGCCATGATGCAAACTCAACAACTTCATAGTATTTTAGAATATATAAAGGGAATTGTTGTTGGCATAAAATGCATAAATCAATTTAAGAGCGTTTGTGGAACTATCATTTTTATATATACGATTAAAAAAAAAAGACCCACTTACCTAAGGTCCGCGCTACGACTCCCTAGCACGAATATCAAGACGTCACGAACAACCATCACCTAGAACAAATATTCAATTACGTCTCAAAACTCTTATCAATAAAACACGTAACTTACATAAAACACATCCCAAGGACGTTCTAGAATGATTTGAGACCCATTGACCAAAAGTCAACCATCGGTCAAAGATCAACGGTAGGGTAACAACCCTACATAACTAAATTCGGAAGATCTGTATCTCGAATTTCCAATTTGTAACTTCTAAAGATCCACATTATACTTCTACGACATCATACTAAAGTTTCATTACGATCCAACAGTTGGATCTCTACCAATTGCCAATTCAAGAGGAGGTCAACAACTAATTTTACTAACTTTGAAATCCAATTCGGGAAGATCCGTTCATAGGATTCCTGATCCGTTAGTTCCAGCAATCCTCAAATATTATATTCTTTAACACATTAAAGTTTGGTGGGGATCCAACGGTCGAATCGTCAATTCAAGTTTTGATCAAGTGATGTATCATAATGAAACTAAGTTCAAATAATCAAACCACTTCATACAGATTTCAATTATGAATTCAGGGCATCTAATTGGACTTAGAAAGATATCGTCGGCCCACTGGCCATGCGCCGCCGTCGCGTATGGCGGTTGGCAGCCCCGACTCGCCGAAAAAGTTCAACTATTTCCAAAAATTACCAAAAATTACAGACAAATAGATCTCAGTGAGTGGAGAAAGTTTCAAACCTGTGGTCAAGTCCAATTTGGCTGGAAAAAGCTCCAATTTCACTCAAACCCGCCGGAAACCCTAAGATGGGTGTTCTTCGATTCAACTTCCTCGATCTTCCAACGCCCTTAAAACTGATTGGGTCTTGTTCCTAGGTCCAAGGGGAGTTGATTAAGGGTGGTGGTGAGTGGTGAGACTCGCCGGAATGGCGGAATCACCGTCAAAACTTCATTGGTCACCCGCATGGTTTTACACGGTTTTGGACCTAAAAACCCTCAACTTTGGGTGGAATTGGAAGATGGGAGATGGTGGAAGAGGTTGCAAGTGATGGATAGTTGAATTTCGCCTGGAAAAATGGTGGAAGTGGCCAAAAGCCACTCCGGGTCGGCGCGGGTAAATGGGTCCACAGGATGGAGGGGAAAAATCCTTTTTTTCCTCTCCTAATTGGCTGATTGGTTGCTCCTCTCTCCTCTCATTGGTCCCTATCTTCTCTCCTTGAAGCTGATTGGCTTCTTTCCCACAAGGTGGGAGTTCAAATAATTGAATAATCTAAAATGTAAATAACCAATTTCAAACGTCCATAACTATACCGTTATAATCCAGAATCGCAAATGGCTTTCACCTATGCGTTCGTACCAACAAGTACTACACAAATACACCAAAATAATAAGTCATACGTTTCTCTAGATAATGATCAATGGAAGTCAAAGTTCTTGCCTCTAGGGCATTTTCGCCAATTCACGCTTTTAAAATAAATAAAAACGTAAAATTAGGGATTGGTTGTCACAAACACCTTGACCCTAATTGTCCACTAAGGCTTCGAATTGAGCTGTGTTAGCCGACACCTAGAAGGTGACGAAGCCATAAAGTGTAGTGATGTGGAAAATGTGAATAAATTTAAACCTACAAGTGCCTAAATACGAGAGTGCAATGTGAGCAGGAATGAACCTATTTCACACGTGATGTCAGAGTATAAGTAAAGTACAGTAGAGTGGATTGAAAATTATACTATCGAAGGTAATCTCCAATACCAAGATTTGCCACGAATCCTTGTCGATACGAAAACTCTACTTCTAGAACCTGGAGGGATAAAAACAAGAGTGAGTGGCCCTGAAAATAAAGCTTTAATAAAGACCTTCTAAAATATATAACCCCTCGCTGTAATACCTATATAGGGTGTAGGAAATCATACTACATATAAGTATGAAATCAAAAGTAAATCAATAGTAAATCCAAGAATATTCCAATTTCTACATATCGGTAACAACATAATAAATCAAGTGCTCATCAATCTATGGTAACCCATGAGTAGGAGTTGCCTAACGCAACCTGTATGACTCATAAATCAGTATATGATAACACATGAGTCGGAGTTGCCTAATGCAACCTGTACAACTCATAGGCAACTCCGGCACTGTCGTATAGGTTGCAATAATAGGTAACTCTGACGCCGTCGTACAGGGGGCCTAAAGCGGACAATATCGTGTTACGGCGGAGTCAAGTTGGGGATGTGGTGGGGGCCCGAGCTGGGATGTGACAATTTGGTATAAGAGCCAATCCTGGCCGGAAGTGTGTCGACGAGGACATCAGACCCTTAAGGGGGGTGGATTGTAACATCCCACATCATCAAGGGGAATGGATCCTGTAAGCCTTATATGTATATTCTCATTTCTACGTAGTATGAGGCATTTTGGGAGCTCAATGGCTTCAGGATCCATCGGAACTCCAAGGTTAACCGAGTTCACGCGAGAGCAATCCTAGAATGGGTGACCCACTGGGAAGTTCTCGTGTGAGTTCCCATAAACAAAACCGTGAGGGTGTGGTCGGGGCCCAAAGTAGACAATATCATGTTACGGCGAAGTCGAGCCCGGAATGTAGTGGAGGCCCAGACCGAGATGTGACATTTAGTCTATCAGCCACAAATTTGATGCTCTTCTTAAATTTTCAAAGTGATCCGAATTTAGAAATATCAGACTCCCACTATGGAAAATTGGAGCAGCAACTCTATTATTTGTCAAGTCAACTGCGCTTGCTGAATTAACCACCACACTTCAAGGAGTAGCTAGTGTTGTAGAGCTAGCCTTCTTGAGTAGCTAGTGTTATAGAGCTAGCCTTCTTGAGTAGCTAGTGTTATAGAGCTAGCCTTCTTCTCCCGTAACTTCCCAAAGTCCCCAACTTGCTGGCTTAAAATCCTAATCCTTTTGATCTTTGTGGTGAGATAAGCATGGCTGATTGCATTCGGTATTTTTTATGGTTACATAAACTTCTGATTCAACATTGTTGGGGCTGTCTAATACAGCGTTAGAATGACAAATTTACTGTCGAAATTTAAGAGATAAGACTGATGATCATTTGACCCAGTGATATTCAGTGCTAAAAGAGGTCTTGAAGTTTGTTAGAATAGGAAAAAAAGATTTGATGAAAGGAAGAAGCCTATGTTTTAAAGATTTCAAACCATGAAAATATTAAGTTATTTTGAAAATAAGCATACACAACACACCATTTTCCTATACAAGGCGTTAGGCAAATATGGTGTGCTTCACAAATTACAGTCGTTAGGTTTGCTTTATCATATGTTAGTTTCTTTAATCTGAATAGTTTGAGATGTCATTGATATCATTTTAATCGCTCTTTTATATGAAGATTATAATCAAGTCAAGTAAATACTTTGTTTTGAATTTAGTTAATGTAAACTACTCATCATCCTTCATTGAAGATGCGAATAAAAATGCAAAATTACAAGTGCCACATTACATTTGTTGAGGATCAAATAGCATATGAAGACTCTGAAAGTCACTCGCCCCTTGCGATGTCGTGGGGTTAGAAATTCGAAACATAGAAGCGTAGCCTAATAACCCATAATCATTTATACGTGGTCCAGTAGTCCCCCATGGGTCCTAATCTTTGGATTTTAATACTAGGGCTTGGACTTTTCCATTATTATTCTAAGACCCTGATCAAATTTCTACCGTCTGATTTCAACACAGACCATTTAAAAAGAAGTAAGTTATTCGTCTAAAACAGTGAGGTGGTGGTCAGATCAAACACCATCATCATCATCATCATTCATCCCTTTATTCACAAGCATCACCATAAGAATTTTCCACACAAAAAAAAAAAAATATATAGAATAAAATAACTATAAAAAATGAAAGGCAAGAGACGAGGGCATAAAAAATATATGGATAAAATATAATAAATAACAATAAATTCAAAGCTAAAAGAAAACGCAAAGAAAATTCGATTCAGGACGCTCTTTGTCCAATCATCTCTCTTAAAAAAATGTCAACCGGATTCCCGTAAAATAATTTGCATCTACTGTATCCGTGCCCACCGTAAGGTCCTAACCGTATGAGATATATACTTGTATAAATTGCAACTTTGCAAAGCTCACATAACCATATTTCATATTTCCTAATTGTGTGTGTGTGTGTGTGTGTGTGTATATATAGTTATAGCCCCTCCCTCTCACTCTTATATGATCAATACTTCTACTTCATGAGACCTCAAACTAAAGGCAAATTAAGAACACGGGACAAGGGTGACCGAATCGTTATACTTTTGCGCTGAATACTATTATGGCGGAGGAGTTTCAAGCCAGGATTTGTGGCGGCAACCCATGGTGGAGTTCATCGAGACACGTGCTGGCGGCGTCACCGTGTTCTGTGGGTTTTAATGATCATATGGGGGGCTTCGGGTACCCCAACGACATGGTGGACATCAAGGCAACAAGGTCTTCCTGCGGTGAGATTAATAACTCGGTTTCTGATGACCATGACGGTGGTGATCATAGTAATTCTATTGCTAATTTTGATCAATATCAAGATGTTCAAAAGCCTGATCATGATTCCACCTTGCAAATGATAGGTTTTGGTCTTTCATCATCGTTATCTTCAACACCCTCAGATTTCAACCAAGCTTTGCTCCTGTAAGTTCTTTTAATTCATTTGCTAGCTAAATAGCTACTTTTCTTAATTAGTTGAAATTCATGCATGAGAAGACCCTTAATTATTTAGTCTTAGTTGTATTCATTGATTTAGAAAAAAAGATCAATATGATATGAACCTTCATGATTGGGAAATTGAATTCATATATAGTACTAATTAGCTTTATGTGGAAATTGAATTTTATATCAACATCACTAACTTTTATCATCTTAATTATCTTGCTGTAGTCGCAGTAGTAGTGGAAGAGGTGAGAGCAATTTTCATAATTCTATGCTCCAAGAAGATATGGGTATGAACACCAAGTTGAACACTGGCGCCCTAGGCGATGAAGAATCATCTTCTATCATAAATGTTTTCAAGCCCATGAATCAAGATTTATCTTTAGACCAATTAGGTTCACCATCGTCTTCTGGCTTTCCTATAAGCTCATCGTCATCAGCTGCTATTTCTTATGGCTTCTCCTCAGCCTTAATGTTGCAAACTCTATTTGATTCTGAACCAGTACCTCAAACCCAACCCCAACAATCAGTTTTCAACAACAATCAGTTTTCAAATGGCCCGTTATTATCACCTTCTCCTACTAGTAATTGTTGGCCGCCGAGATACTCTCCAAACAGTTGCCTAAGACCCTCATCGCTACCAAAGCAGTTACAACCTGGTGTTGGTGGCGGTAGCTTGCACTTTTCCAATAACATTAGTACACCCTTCTGGAACGCCCCCACTCCCGCGGCTTTAAATCAAGACAATACTATTCGATCTAGTAATGATCTGTTTTCCTCCTCACAAGCACAGTATACAACACCTTCTCTGTCACCTTTTCATGAAAAGAAACCCAATTCCAACAACTTTACCACCAAGGTAAGTAATGAACCTTACAGTTTACCTCTTCAACATATAGCTAGCTAGCTAGGGTTTATGACCATATGTATGACAAAAGGGTTTGAGACTAATAATTTAGATGTTGAAATTTATGACAAAAGGGTTTGAGACTAATAATTTAGATGTTGAAATTTCGAAATTTCAGGCCAATACTAATGGAGATGTCCAAGACTCAAGCTCCTCTGTTGTAAAGAAAAGTAGCAGCAGCGCCTGTGAACCTGTATTCAAAAGAGCTCGAATTGAAACACCTTCACCCTTACCGACTTTTAAGGTACGACAAACATATCTAATCAAAAGCTTTTGGCAGCAGCCATCGATTGATGAGCTAGCAAGCTTTTCTTTGTCAAAGTGATTTTTAAAATTTTAATTAAAGCTTGATTAATTTGTTATTGATTAGGTTCGGAAGGAGAAGCTTGGGGACCGGATCACTGCTCTCCAGCAATTGGTTTCACCTTTCGGAAAGGTAGAGTTTTGTTGTTTTCTTCTGTACCTTTTCAAGAAAAAAACACTTTACTAATTTGCTAAATAGAGGAATTCATCAAACTTACCTTGAATCCTTTTTGTTTTTCTTTTTCAGACTGATACAGCTTCTGTCCTCCACGAAGCTATTGAGTACATCAAATTCCTCCACGATCAAGTCAGTGTACGTTCCTTTTAGTAACTCTATTTATTTTTTTTGGGCTTAGACTTGTTAAATTAAGAAACCCTAGTTGCCTACAGAAACAAAATAATTAATTGATTAATTTGTTTTCCGGGTTGTTCTTCATAAAGAAGGTAGACCTAATGAAATTCTTTATGCAAGTCTGGACTTAGTTCTGATATAAAAGTTTTTCTTTATGTAATATTTCAGGTTTTAAGTACTCCATATATGAAAAATGGAGCTCCCATGCAACAGCAACAGGGTACTGATAAAATGGAGGAGGCCTCGGAAGGAGCACAACAAGATCTACAAAGCCGAGGACTCTGTTTGGTTCCAATTTCAAGCACATTCCCGGTTGCTAATGAGACCACAGCTGATTTTTGGACACCATCATTTGGAGCAACTTTCAGGTGATCAGAAGAGAAGAGCTGAGGAAGCCAAGGCCTAAAGTGCATGCTGAGCCAACTGCTAGCAGGACTAATGATCGATGTAGAGCTAGCAAGCGATTAAATATTATAGACCATTTCAATTTTTATGTAAAACTAATTAATATAAGTTATCAGTTAGGAGATGAGTTTGGAACAGGAACAGGTGCTAAATTTAGCGGAAGTTGATATTATATTAGGGTTTAGGGATATTAAGTTGTTGACAATAGCTGAATTTAGCAGATGGGGTGTAAAGAGCTGCCTTTTGTTCCTGTTCATGTATGTTGAGGGTTGGCACCACCACCTTTCCATTATCTCAGAGAAGAGAAAAATAAATAGATTTAAAGCGATTTGAATTGTAGTTAATTGATTTATATAATGTATGTATTGTTGATTGTTGTAAGAACAGGAGGGAAAGATGAGTGAGTGGAGGTCATTTGATTGGCGTTTTCACTTTTTCAATTTGTTTAATTTATATGTTTGGAATGTGGTAGTGGGAAGTCAGAGGACGGCCCACTGTGCCTGTTTTTAGGGTTTCTGGTGAATCTGGTCATGAGTCGTGAGAAAGAGAGAGTGAGAGAAAGAAAGATAGTGCATGCGCGAGTGCATGTATTTGCGCGTGTAAAACATCAACCCTGACAATTTATTTATTTTGGGTCAAAATCAACCCTAACATTAATATATGTTTTTATCCTTCAATTTCTTCCTATGGAATGGCTAAGCAATTATAAGGATCGTCCATTAAACATGTAAAGAAAAATTAGTTGAAATGATGAATTTATAAATTTTAATAGTTGACATAATCAGGTTTTTTTTCTTCTCGTATTTGACCGATATTTTTTTAATATTTTGGTAGATATGATGTTTGTATTTAATCCATATATCATCAATATGATCTATAAGTCATCAATATTTGGGTTTGATGAGTTTATCAATTAAAATTTGTAAAATAATTATTTCAGTTAATTTTCTTATATTATATATAGCGTAACACCTCATACATGTATGCATGTTTGTGAAGAAATACATTATGTGTTGATCAGGTTGTGAATCTGAATCATCAATTATTTGCTTGGCAATATAAATGTATGTCCGGTAAAATAACGTTATCCTCTAGTGTTGATTATTATTTTTTTTTTTGAACAAAATGTTGATTATCTTTTAACTTCTACGATTCCATAATCTACATAATATTAATTATATCCTTGGTGGCAACTAGAACCAGCAGCTTCCTTTGATTTAAGGAAATTTTAACAAAAAACTCATAATACTGTTCACTTTAACGAAAAATCATATTTTTACACTAAAAAGTCAATCCTAATACTATTCACTTTATCATTTTTTTTGTCTTTATCGTTAAAACTTAAAATTTTCAAATTTTTTTCATTAGTTTTCCTTTGATTTAATTATTCATTTTGTTTTCTTGTTTTTTGGTGTTTGTTTATGTATTGGAACTTTTGTCAAAGCATGGCTGCATGGGGTGAAAGTTTACACCGCTTTTCCCAACACGAACAGTGCCGATGTAACACTATATATGTGTTGTTACTTTCAGAATTATGGCTCATCATTTGCAATCTAAACGACATATTTGATAATATCAAATATTAACCAAATATATACAAAACTCCTGACCAACTATAGTCAATAGAGCTTACAAACTTGTGCTGTCTAGTAAACATGAATTATATTCGTTAACTCCATATATACACAATGGCGAGGCTACATAGAGACAAGGTGGGGCATCCGCCACCTCCTATTGCTGGAAATTAAGCCTAGGAGCGGTAGTTCCGCCCCTCTGGTTCCGTCGGAAGTTATGGTTGTTTGGCCTGCTTTCTAGTTTCTGGGTTCCTACCGCACTGTTTTTTTTTTTTTTTTTGAAAAATCCTTAACCAAACGAAGCGTTTCAATTAGTTGATTAAAAGAAAATAATTGAAGTGGGGACCACTGGTCCCCGTTACCTCTGCCTTCACACGTCCCCCATTCCCTTTTTAAAACCAATAAAAAAGTAAAGGTTTTCGTGTTTTCTTTTTTTCTTAATTTCTTAATTTATATTATAATTAACCCTAATTGATTAGTTAATATGAAATTTTGTTTAGAGTAATACACTAATATAGTTATTGATTACTGATTATTGATTATAGATATGAATCCTATTGTCACATTCCGGTTCGGGGTCCACCACATCCCGGCCCCGCTCCACCACCGTAATACGATATTATCCGCTTTGGGCCCTGACCACTCCCTCACGGTTTTGTTTCTGGGAACTCACACGAAAACTTCCCAGTGGGTGATCATGGGAGTGCTCTCGTGCGCTACTCGCTTAACTTCAAAGTTCCGATGAACTCCGAAGCCAATGTGCTCCCAAAATGCCTCGTGCTAGGTAGGGATAATAATATACATTTAAGGATCACTCCCCTGGATGATGTGGGATGTTACACCTATAAATGATTATAGATATGAATCCAATAAATGATTATTGATGAATGAAATTGTTTTTTAGGGTAAAATTTGAATTCTTGATTCTTGATTAATTGAATTGAATTTTGTTATAATGAATAATTCATATGATTATTGGTATTGATTAATTGAATTGTTGGTTTAATTAGTTAGTAGTCATATGGTATATTTTACTCTAGGATTAAGAGTCTAAGACCGGGAGGAAGTAGTGATCTTGCAAAGGAGTTGGTGAAGATCGAGAGGTGTGCAAGCTATATGATAGTGTATAAGCTTCTTACATTAGTTTCGATGTTACTGGCTGCAACCGCTTTAGTGGAGAGAGTTTTTTCTGCTATAATGTTGTGAAAACACCATAGCGTACAAAATGGGAGATTAATGATTGAGTAATAGCATGATTGTTTATATTGAGAGAGATGTATTTGCTTTTATTGATAACGAGTCTATCATGCGACATTTTTATGACATGAAATCTCGTCGGCAACAATTGAAATTTGTTTGTATTGATAAATTATGGAAGACACTACTATATAAAAGGATTAGGTTGTTGCCATTTTCTTTAACCTTGCACTCTTTTAAGTTCGCACCTCCTCCCGATAATTCCTGGCTTCGTCATTGTATATATATGCTATAACTTCGAAAAAGATTCGTACCATATAAGAGTTCTTTTTTATTTTTTAATTGTCAAAATATCCAAATCAGCATTAACAATAAAAAAAGACAGCAACAATGTTTTTCTATCGAAAAGTCAAATCTAATGTGGTATGACATGAATTGGCAGCCCTCACCCTTGTTGCCAAGATTGAATCCAGGTTCAAATTTTCTTAATTGATTATTAAATGTATTTTATTAATTTTATTATTGTTTTTTGTTTAAAATATTTATTATAATAGTTTAATTTGACATATTGGGTGGAGAACAAAACTCTAAAAAATGTCAAAGTGCCATATAAGCTGTCAAATTTAAGATTTATATTTAAAATTTGACATCTTAAGTACTAAAAAAAATGACATCTTATTTAGAGATGCTCTAAGGTGCATGTATGTGTGTGTGTGTGTGTATATATATATATATATATATTACTAGTCATTGTTTGTTGAAAGTTGCTCTGAACAAATTTTGAAACAAAGAGCCTAATCAAGAAGAAGCTTAAAATTGAAGAATCCCTATCAAAGATGACTAATCATGAGAGAAAGCAAAAGAAAGGTACTTTAATGGTTCAAAATCTGTTGGGATTGGTATCTCTTGGCGCCCACTCTTTTTGTGACTTGTGAAATTGATCGGCGAAAGGGTGTGATACCGAACACTTTGAAGCATCGGGATCAATACCATTTGATATAGCTAGCTCCTCTCTCTCTCTCTCTCTCTCTCTCTCTCTCTCTCTCTCTCTCTCTCTCTCTCTCTCTCTCTCGATAGAATATTGGAATTCTTTAATTATTTTTACTAGATTGAGATCCTATCCGGATTTCACACTCAAGAGTTTGCAGATTGAACAATTTGAACTGTTTAATTTAAATCTTGCAGTCTCTATTAGTAGATTCTACTAACCCACCTCACACACAATCTCTCTCTAACCTTCAAATATCTCTCTCTCTTAAACGTTCCAAGTTGCTTGGTCTGTAAGCTTTGGAGTGTGAGATCTGAAGAGGATATTAATCGCGTACTACTAGGGTTTACTTATTTGAAAAGAAGAAACATAAAACGAATACTTAAAAGGAAAGCATCTTGGCATCATTGTGTTGTGTTGTTATAAATAAAGCAAAATCTACGACTTCCAGCAATTACAAAACTTTACTTTAATGGATCAATACTTCTTTTTCTTGTTTTGGCTAATCAATGTAAAACTCTATTTTCGTCTTCTCCTTGACGTTTTCCAGCTTCGAAAGGCTTATTTCTTTCTAAAATTGAATCTTATTTTCCAACCCTTAAATTTTAACCCTCATTATCATTACATAAAAGCTTATAATTGAGTTCTGAGTTTGAATTACACATACGTGAGTTAGACTAGTTAGTTATAATAGTGTGTTCACTTTTTGGCACACGGTATGAATCTTCTTTTTAAATGTTAAGAGTAATTTAGAGAATTACGTTTTTAAAGAAAACACAGCAAAATTTGAAATACATCTACTTATGTTTTGAGCCCAAGTTAGCCGATATTGGCCATGGGCTCACTATTTTATGTGGGTGCCTAATTTACTCTTTTAGATGAACATCCCATGGGATAGCATGAAAACCCCTGTGAAAGTAACCCTTTGAGCTCAATATTCGATTCCTCCAATGTAACCAAAAAAAAATAAATCCTGTAAACGTGGGACAACAAACGCCTTCTGCGTATTATGAACTCCATGACCATAACTAGAATATCCTGGACCTGAAGTGAATGTGATAAGATCGCATAGACCACACTCAATCACTCATCATGTATGTTACAACCCGTCCATAATTTTATTTTATTTTATTTAAATGTGAAACGATCAAAATGTCCTTAGAGGGTATGTGTCGACTTTCATTGACTTACTGGTCAGGACACGTGTGACATATTAATTAGTATATTCTGACAGCACTCGTTATTATGAACGATTGATCATAAGCGTAACGAAAATTAGAACTAGAAGAAAGATTTTACAGAACACGTATAAATCATTTTATGTAAAGTGGAAAAGATAATAGTACTAGATATAAAATATTAATGATAGAATAAAATATAAAGAAAGAAGAAAAATGAGAGGTGGAGAAGGATTGAGAAAGGAGTCCCTCTTCTCTTTATTTTTTTGGGGTTGGTTTGAGAGGACACCCATGGGGAACGAGTCCTGCAAGTCTTGTCACGCCCCGATCCCGACATACATCTAGGATCGACACATGACATCACCAAATACCCGTATCTCAACCTACCCCGCCTTCGAGATATGTACATAGCATAATTCAAGATCCAAATCTCATAGAAATTTT